ATTCTAAATGAATGCCGAATGGAGCATAAATACTGTCACGTTCTTCGTCTTCTGAAACAGTCTGATAAGCTTGAACATGTACTTAACGAGAAGGTGACATCAGCTGCGTTCGCAGTCTCACAAGTGCTGTGCCGAAGTAAACTTTCGTGTAGTAAAACTGGTAAACAACATTAGTCTGTAGTCACTAAAACAAAACGCTTGCAAAGCGAAACAACCGTTTCAACCAGGATACCGCAAAAAGTTTAGAAAAACATCTCCAAAAGTTTTGCCATGTTGAACAATCAAAAGAGAATTTTTAGCTAGAAAATAACAAAATCGATCGAAAATTTACCCGGATCCAAGCAGTGAAAGCCGGATCGAAAAGACGCATTCCGATACGGACGACCATAAGCACTTCAGAAAACGTCATATCTGACGGCCCGCTGGTCAAAAATTTTCGCAGAAATGCCGCGGAGGGCGGGAATATTCCGAGCAGACGCCAAAGCATTGTGCCATTGAAATATCGGCAGCAGCGCTGTAGCGAATCACTATTCTCGTAGCGATCAATTTGGAAACAAGAGTACATCAGTTCCATGAAACAGCTGTACAAGTGCCGGTAGCTGAAGGAGTTCTGAATGAAACTGGCTGCCAGACCGTCGATTTTTGGAACGCCACACAACAACGACGGCGGCTGGCAGAGATAATAAAAACACGGAGTGATCACACCTAAAAGTGTTACATAATCGACTAAACACACCCGCGCCGTTCATACACATCTGCGACTGGGTGTTCAGCTGCCTGAAATAAGTGTCAAGCGTTGGGCAGGAGTAGAAGAGCTTTTCATGGTGGCTCGTGCTTTGCGTAGTACTTGGCGAAGCAGCGCCATCTGTAGGGGCACTGTCGTTTGCTATTTTGCTGAAAGCGAAGATATTCGTTTGGAGCTAAAATATAAACTGTGAGAGGAAATTTTAAAGACTGTGAACATTACCTGCTCCACTAAAGAACTGCTTGGTTCATAAAAATTACGGATGATGTAGTCGAGAATAACCAGAACTCGGCCAAAATAAGCAGACGTGCAACATTCAGCGTTCCTTAACGATGACGATTTGGAAATATTTAGCAGTGGATCTGTAACATGATGATTTCCTACTTGTGGGCTCCTACTGAGCAAAACTTGATCACGCTCTCTGCTGTACTCAGCAAGCATTCTTTCTTCTGCAACAAAGGAAGAGAGTGAAAGAGCAACAAAAGCATTTGCGCATGCTCGACGTTGACGTCTTCTGAAATAAATTAAGAATGATAGTTAACAAAGTAACCAAAGAATTTTTCCTGCAATAAACTGACCGTAACTTAACACATTTACTACGATACTTCTGGCTGTTTTGCTGATTCAACGCAACTCACCTGCCACTCCGTTTCGTCATTAAAAACGTACAAACGCGAACCTGATATCTGCATTTCAAAACCTATCTGTACAGTACAAAGCGATACACTTCTCATTTTAACATAAACCCTATTTGATAATTTAACATAATGATAAACGATTCAAAAAATTTTTGGCATTAATCACTGAACAGCTAACTAACAGTGAGTAATCCGGCATGCAGAAGCCACGCAGCGTCACCGTCTAGCAGCGTCATTGCCGGCACTAACAGTAATTGAAAGTTTAAAATTTATTGCTTGAACGGAATTACAAAATAACTCCACTTTTAGGCATACACCAAAAATAAAAGAATCAGTAGAGTAGAATCCGTAGTTACTTACAAAAGAAAAAATAACAATTTACATGATTATCAGTTAATGAAAATACGCGAACACACACCCAGAACTGCCTATCATTGAGCACTATCAAGTAATGTTCCTGAGTTGGAGTCGTGGGGAATGCGCGCTAAGGTTGGGATAATGCATTTTCGGTAGAACGCCGTGCTGTCATAAATAGAGAAATGTCGTAACCTAGAGGAATAACATTATCAATACGAACATATACTGGGCTATCATGAAAAGGATTGGTAAAACCGCAAAGGATGTTGTTTCACCGAGAATACTGTGTGCCACTTCAGATTAGGCAACACGCAATGCAAAATCACTCAGAAGCAGACTACCAAGTCTTCAGACAAGAATAAGTCACTTTCTAATAGCATGAAATCACGAGCCATGGCCGGTCCCAAGCCCGGATGAGAAAGGAGGAGGGTGGGAGACCGTGGCAAGTCTCCGTAAAATT